CTGGGGTATTGTGAGACTTGGTTAAGTGAGAAACAAGGAAGCCAGAGTCGATATATGTAAGAGAACAATCTTACCACCACAGCAAAGTTAAATTAAATAATTACAATCAAAAACCCTCACGTAGGAGCTCTTGGGATGAAGAAAACATAATTATGCATATTAGGAAATATTTTAAAGTAAAAAAAATGTAATGAAACTATGATACATCACAATTATACACTGCTGCTAAAACTATTCAAAGGAAAATATTTACCCCTAAATTCTTTCATGTTGTGATGTAAATCTAAAATTTAATGATCTAAACACCTTCAGCTTAGGAACTTAAAGAGGGCAATGAAGGAGTCAGCATCGTGGCCTAGTGGATAACGCCACAGGCTGCGATGATGGCATCCCAGACGGGCACCAGTTTATGTCCCAGCTGCTCCGCTTCCGATTCAGCTTCCCGCTGATGATTTGGGAAAGGCACCGGCAAACGACCCGGATGTTTAGACACCTGCAACACCCGTGGGGGCCAAGAAGAAACTCCCGGCTCCTGACTGTGGCCTGGCACAGCCGGGCCTTTGTAGCCATCTGGGTAATGAACCAATGTTGGAAGATCTCTCTGTTTCCCCCCTCTCTTCCTGTAACTCTGACTTCCAAATAAAGAATTAAGTCTTTATAAAAAAAAAAAAAACAAACAAAAAAACAAGCCAACACTAGTTTTAAAAGAGGAAAGAGCCAGAACAAAGACAGAAGTTAATGAAAAAAAAGACAAGGTTTTCATAAAAAGAAAGGAAACAAAAGCAAAAGCTGTTTGAAAAATTCTGACGTTAGCTAAATTACATCAATAAAACTCATGGTAGTAAATTAAAGAACAAGCGTAGCAATGGAAGCAGAAAAATTTGGACAAGTTTTAGCCTTTGTTCATGATTTGAAACACAAATAAAATTTCTGAGTATCTTAAGGAATAGACAACAAACTCTCTGATCTGGAGAAATACTAATGAATTTTTTCTTCTAAGACAGGCACAAAGCTGACCTGCGCACTGCTAATGCAACATTTCACTGGAGATTAACACAGCAAGCCAAGAAAAATTAATTAAGAAAAGTAAGAATGGGAAAGCAAAGTTACTGTTATTCATGGCTGATCATCATTATCTATACAAATATCAAAAAGTTCCTACAAACACAGTAAGATGAGTAGCCTTGGCTGACGTAGAGTCAATGTAGGTAGTTGCTATGGTTTGAATTTGATTTGGCTGCCCAACACATGTAGACAGCTAAACTCCATCAGTTAACGTTGAACTAAATCCAGTTCTGGTGCTTGGGTGAGCATAGTGGAAGATCCCTAGGTCTTTGGGGGCTTGCCCCTGGAAGGGAGTTCCCAAGGAGACCCAGCCTTCCTGGTTGGCCACATAATTCTTTCATTGACCACACTGCCATCGCCATCTGCATCAGTGGCCAAACCTCTTGGACTCAAGAAGCCTTTCCTCCCTGTAAAGTTTGCTGTACTGTTGTTAGAGTGAGTGACAAAAGGCTGAGCGGCACAAGAGTCAATTATTGTAAAGGACCATTTCTAACAGCAGTCAGGCAAGCAGGCATATGAAAGTATTGTGTCAGAGTGCTACCTAGGGGCCTGGTGGGTGTTGCTATTGCTTGCATAGACTTTTTCTGGTTAAGCATTGTGCATGCATGGACAGAAAGTTGGACTTGAGCAGTGAAATGGAATTTGGGGGATTTATCTTATTCCAGTAACCTTGTCGTGCCCTCATTAATTCAAACAACTTGTACATTCCGGGTGGGAAGGATGTTGTGAAGCATTTGTCCTTGCCAGATTAATCTGTACATTTGGGACTATTCCCATTAACATTCCAAACCATGTTTTCATGGAAATTGACAGGCTGATTCTAAAAATTTGTACGGTTTAGAACTGGCGCAGACCTAGCCAACAAATTTATACAGGGAGAAAAATAAGACAAAGTGATTAAGTCCTTGTGTTGATGCTGCAAGGACAAGCAGAGCAATGCAAAAGAATGCAGCATCCACTTAACACTGTAGCTCAGTGGAGGCTATCGGTGGATGGCCTTTAGATATTGAAACTGGGGAAGAAAGAATAAAATAACACCGGATCCTACACGAAACACAAAAGTTAGTTCCACCAATGCGCTAAACGTAAAAGACAGAACTTTAACTTTTAGGGGAAAAAAAATAGAGTATACTCTTACAACGTTGGGATAGGCAAGGATTTCTTAAACAAGAACTAAGAAGCCAAACACAGAGGAAAAAAGAGATAAGAGACTTAAAATTAAGGAAGTCTGTTTTTCAAAAGAAACCCTGAAATGTGAAGAGACAAGCCACAGATTGGGAAGGGGCTTGCCACGCAAGTCAGCTGGTTAGTATTCAGACAGATGTGAAGATCTCTGTGCACCAATAAGAAATGGGGAGAGGAAGAGAGAGGGAAAGGAATTGAAGGTATTCAGAAAGGTGACAAGAAGACAAGAAAAGAGAGAGAGAGAGAGAGGAAGAGAGAGGAAGAGAGAGGCAGCCATTGAGGGTAAGACCCCTGCTTCCATATCCCAGTGCCTGGCTTCTAGAGCTGGCTCCTTTCCTGAGTTCGGTTCCTGCCACTGCAAGCCCTGGGAGGCAGCTGGTGATGGCTTTAGTAGTTGGGCCCTCGCCTCCCACCTGGAACCCCTGGATTACATTCTGACTGCATCTTCAGCCTAACGCAGCCACTGCCATTGTGGGCATCTGGGGAATGAAACAGCAGATGGGAGCATTCTCTCTCTCTCTCTGCTTCTCCCTGTCCCTCTGCCCCTCAAGCAAATTAAAAATAAAAGAGATATAGTAGGAGGGAAGAAGGAACAGAGACAGAAAGGAGAGAAGGAGGGAAGGAAAGAGAAGGCAATGGATGGAAGACCTGAATGGGCTTTTCACAGAAGATGAGAATAGGTCATGAGAACACAGAGGACTCCAACCTCCGGCGTAAAGAGCACAAGATCCCACTGCGTGCCCACCAGCATCTTCAGACTCTAAGACCAGACTCTGGTGAGGAGGTGGAGCCGTGCACCTCGGGACCTGCTAGGGAACGGTGTGGGGTCAGCACCTTGGAAAACACATGGACAGCCCCTACAGTCATGTCCCAGAACTTCAACTTCAGGTGGCTCCTCTGAAGGAATCCTGACACGTGGGCGCTGGGGGGCAGGTCCAGAGGTGTTCTTGTGTGAGGGTCAAACTTTGAAACAACCAGAGATGTATCAGTAGGTGGATGGATAAATAAACTGAAACATATTCATACATTGAAACATTTAACAGCAGTGAAAATCAATCAGAGGTGCACCCGCAACCCAGTTTAATCTTAAAGATATGCTAAAAAAAAATGACAAAAAGTCTACTATAAAAAAGTGCTAACGCACGCTTCCATTTGTGCAAAACTTGGACACAACGGAGAACAATATAATGTATTGTTTGTGGATTCAGAACGATTGCCAACACCAGAATTCTGCATGTGACCAAAGATGTGTCTGAATACAGAGACCGAGATGTTTGTCTTCTTTTTGTTCACCTCTGTTTTCTGCTGTTCTTTGATGAACGTTTATGTCCAGAAGAGTCCCTAGCATTTTTTTTTTTCAAGAGAAAACGTGATCATTTTCTAGCCTACAGACAGAGAGCTTGTTCATTTCAGTAGCAATTGCTTTCTAAGAGCCAAGAATTGCTTCAAGAATGTTAACTCCAAGGGCAGGCACCTGTGTGCTTGGTTAATAAGAACGCTGATAACATAGAAAGGGGCAGCCCTGAACCGCCACAGGTGTGACCTTGATGTCCCGGTGAAAGTGGAGTGTCTGAGGGTGGAAGGTGGCCAGACTCGTGGGGAGAGCTGGGGTTGCACCCAGGCTGCCAACACTGGCTGTGCTGGAACGTGTCCACGCACGGAAGGACATGGGGTGTCCTTGCTCATGGAGCCTAACGAAGTCAGCCAGCAGACCACAGCTGCAGTCTGACGGACTCTGGCGGAAGCCCCCCACCCCCTCTCTCTTCCTCTCTGCGCAGGACAGGGTGCACTAACTTGATCCCCAGAGGCCTACCTGCTCACCACTGATTTCAATGCCAGGCAAAATAACTCTGTATTATTATAGAGGGTGATCAGGAGTCATTTCTGTAAGATTCAGAAAAGGCAACCACGAATGGGGCTCCTGCTATGAGCCAGCCTATGTGTGTGCCATGAAGGGACTTCAAAACACATTTATGGCAACATGGAATTGCAAGATGAGTGTGTTTGGGTACAGAACAATTTCTAACTCCATGTGCTCAGAACTCACACGCTTTGTGTGGGCTGGCCTATGGTGTGGCACGCTTCTAAGTGGAGTTTCCATTCTTTCAAGAGTGGGAAAGGTGAAGCTGACATCATGCAGGCCAATCCTCCACCTGCGGGACCAGCATCCCATATGGATACCAGTTTGTGTCCCGACTACTCCACTTCCAAGCCAGCCTCCTCTTTACGGTCTGAGAAAGCAACAGAGGCTGGCCTAAGTTCCTGGGCCCTTGCATCCACATGGGAAGCCCAAAGGAAACTTTTGGGCTCCTGATTTTGGATCAACTCAGCTCCAAGCTGTTTGGAGAGTGAACCAGAGGATGAAATATCTCTCTCTCTTTCTCTCTTCCCCCCTCCCTAGTCTTTCCTTTTCTCTGTAAATATAACTTTCCAATAATAATTTATTAAAATGATAAGGATGGCTACTCTGAGACCTCCATGTGAGATTCAGAGAAGCTAAGTCACTTGACCCAAGACACACAGCGTATTAGAGGCAGAGTCGGGGTTTGAAACAAAGTTTCTGCAATGTTCCTTCTTTCTGGTTGAGAGAAGACATTTCTGTTGGGCACTGGGCTGCAGTGGTTAGCGAAGAGAGGACCCCTGGGGTGCATCCCACCACCACCACCACCCTCCCCTCTCTGGGGCTGGGCTTCACAGAAGGACCTTGCTCATGGCCGCCAAAGCCCTGACCTGTGTTCCTGTCTCCTCAGGAAGCCAGCGCTGTCTCGCCCCGTGTGCTCCAGCGACCTCCTGAGCTGCTGCAAGAGCCTGTGGGGGCTGAGCTTTCTTCAGAGACACACGGGAGGCCCCGCAGAGGAGCAGCCGGGAGAGCCACCATCTGAGGGGCCACTAAGGACACCGCCCCATGAAGCGGTGAGGACACCGCCCTCGGAGGTTGTCTAAGACCCGGCCTGAGGAGGCGGGGATGCTGCTCCCCGTCTCCAAGATCTGACTCCCTGAACCTCTCAGGACCTAGCTCCCAGAGCCACCGAGGATACAGCCTCACACAAGTGTGGGGGATCCTGGAACACACAGCAGAGTGCTGGGACCCTGCGACCTTGCACAGAGCCACAAGTTCCATTCCCAGCCTTCCAGACGGATGCTCGGGATGCCTCTGGGCCTGGATGTGCAGAATCCAATGGATTGCAAACTCAACATCGGTGCTGACCCTAGGAGTCGTGAACAGAGGCAGCAGGGTGTACGGGGACGTGTGCACGCATGTGCATGTGGGAACACACGTGTCCTCTGGACCAGGTGGTTGGTGTTGCTATCAGATATTGGCCTCTCTCCCTCATGGGAGCTGCAGAACAAAGGCATGACAAGGAAATGAAAGGGCAGGCAAGGGGACTTAGCCTATAACAAGTACCTACTATGCACCAGGTCCTTCACCTGTCTGAGGTCCCATCATCCTTAGAACTCCATGTACTTGGAGTCAGGATCACCGTCCCAACACTACAAGCTTGGAGACCTAAGGGGACCGTCAAAGGCCACTCAATCAGAAGAGTGTTCTTAGCACAGAGGAGTCACTCACAGATGGTAGTTGAGTGAATGAGTGAGTCAAGGAGTGGGAGAATGGGGGGGTTAGCCAGACCTCAAGCCCATTCTCTCAACACCACTACTCTACACTGCACTGCCTCTCCAGAGAGAAGACCAGATGTTTCTCGGACTCAGCCTACCTTTTGCCTAGCAAGGTTAGAACTCCCTGAGCCTGGGAATCCCCCTCGTGCTAGGTTCTGCCCCTCTCTGGTGTTTATCAACAACAAGAAGTGCTTTGCAGTAGATTTTCCAGGAAAAGCCTGTCTGTCTTGTCTGGAAATTTTGGGAAAACACAAGGATTGGGGCTGGATGAGGTTGTCCCACCTGTGCCTTCTGCTGGCTGGGTGACCTGAGGCTGCATCGCCTGCTCCCTTCAAAGGGCTTTTCACTCTTTTGGTCAAACAGGCAAGATCGACTTTCCTAGACACAGGACTGTTGGAGAGCTCCCAAGGAGCTGAAGGAGGTGAGAGCCCCGGGAGAGATGAGAGCATCTCCCCAAGGCCACCACCCCTCCAAGTACTCTTTCTTTAAGTCCCCTTCCCGCCTACTTCCCAGGCCAAAAGGTTGTAATTCACCATCCCTCTGTCCAACAGTTAGATAGGGCCCTCTCCCAGGCTCAGTCCTGAGCCTTCACATCCCTCTGGTGTGCTCTCTGCAGCCAGCAGGCACGTGGAGATAAGCTCAGAGGTTCGCCACTGTTGGTTTCCGAGTCATTCTTGCCTCCGCGATGCCTCCACCTGCAGGTTTAGAAGACCCTGCACCTGCAGCATCATCCGTCACTATACTGTTCACATCTCTCTGTACCCGCTCCTCTTCCAGGGTTCCCTCGCTCAGACAAAAGCCCCACCGTGCCAAAGGTCAGCTCTGGCACCTTGCTTTGCCCCTGCCCTCATGGCCAACCCTCCGGAGCCCACTATCTGCTCAAGTGGCTCCACCTTCCCCGTTGTCACTCAACTCTCATGGTCTCCTTCAGGGAGAACTGAAACAACTTCTGAGCCCTCTTCTCTACTTTCTCCACTTGCATTCCTCCTGCCCGTTATCCACCCAAAGTGAGCTGTGACCACACCACACACACAGAAAATCCTGCTCCGCATGAAGTTCAGGCCGCATATGGCTGACCCCTCCTCCTCCCTCCATCATCTTCCATCCCATACTTCCTTCCAGCCCAAATGACCTTTTTCTGTTTCATTTATTCCACTCTTTCCAGCTCCCAAACCATGCACAGTGCTGTTTTCAGGACTTGAAATATTCCTCCTTGAACTCTAGGCTGCTCAGGTCCACGAGGTCTTAGATACAGTGTCACCTCCTGGAGGGAGTCTACTTTGTCCCTGCGTTGCCTATCACACACACACATTTTGATGGAAGTCTGGTAAGGTTGCTGAAGTGAGAGTCGTTTTTTGTGACTCCTTGAATGTCATGTAATCACCTGTTCGTAGGGCCTGTCTGATGCTGTTGGGTATGATCTGTTCAGCCTTAGAACGGGGTTTACACGCAGTGGGGTTTTAATATTGTCTGAATGAGCAGAAAAGCTCAAGTGCAACAGAGAGCAGTGAAAGCCGATAGTTTTCAACATTGACCTTCCAAGAAATCAGCAGGTACGGATGATTTCCCCCCAGAGATGTTTAATCCTTTGATTGAATCCCTTTGGGAAGCCCTCAGAATACCGTCCTCCAAGATTTTCCAAGGATTCCGAGGCAGGTGGCTATCAATGTCATGGTCAAGTAGTTGGAAACACCACACCTGCCCTGTGTGCCTGATCAAGGGCTCAGACGGTCAGAGCTCCAATTCACATGCCCGCACGCCACCTGCACCTGCAGGTCTGTCTCTGAACCCCGCTATCTTTCCGAAGACCTCCTGGAGTCTCTCTGCAGGCTGCAGAAGTGGAGCGCATGCTGCCTGGAGGAGGAACATCTGTGGTGACACCCCAAATCCGCATTCTACATCACCATCAGGTTCCAATAAAGCTTTGGAAACATGCACTGCCTCACAGTTTTATTTTTTTACTTCCTGGCAAGGAAATACTTCCCAAATTTCATCATGTGGTATCTTGATTTAGAAAGAGTCGTAATGAAACACTCGGGAAAAGGCCAAATTGAAAATTGCCTGAAAAAGTAAGCTGGATTTCGTCTTAAAAACCTACATTGGAAATGAGGGAAGTGCCGGTCTGAAGGGAGAGTAGGAGCTTAATAAATATTTGTCAAACGAATGAGCAGGAAAAGTAAAGAGCAGAGTGAGTCGAGAAAGCTGGTACTCCAAGCAGCGCCCATGCCTGGTCTCTTGGCTGCAGTCCCTCTGGAAGCTGCTCCCCCGGCTAGCTGAGCCCGCAGAGGGACTGGCATATTTCTGAGTTGGTCAGCTGCATAGACACCTGTGTTCATCCAAAAAGAAAGGCACCTTTAAGATACAGACCTTGAATATCATACTCAGCAAGTGTGTGAGGTGCAAAGACAAAGACAAAAGAGGGGGGAAAACAAAACAGGCCTAGAGAAAAATGCACCGAACTCTGCACAAGGAGAGAATCCAATGAGAGGTTTCTGAAAAGGAAGGCAGGTTTCTGAAGGAAGGTTTCTGAAAAGGAATGGCCCAATTGGCTCATTTCCTCTTTGTTACAAGCCCCAGGATCCCATATGGGCACTGGTTCATGTGCTGGCTGCTCCACTTCCCATCCAGCTCCCTGATAGTGGCCTGGAAAAGCAGCAGAGGATGGCCCAAAGCTTTGAGACCCTACACCCATGTGGAAGACTTGGAAGATGCCAGAAGATGTTCCTGGCTCCTGGCTTCAGATCAGCTTATCTCCAGCTGTTGTAGCCATTTCAGGAGTGAATCAGCTAATGGAAGATCTTTCTCTCTGGCTCTTCTCCTTTCTGTAAATCTATCTCTCCAATAAATAAACCTTTTAAAGCTTTTAAAAAATTAAAAACAAAAGAAGGCAAGTAACCACCTGAAAACCAAAATTCTGGCTGTGAGCCATTTACAATTCTGAGCTTGAGACCCTCTGGGGAAATCGTAAAGATAACCTTGACGTATTTGCACAAAAAGTAGAGCAGAGATGGACAATAGGACCACAGCATACCGGAAATGCTCTGCTCCATATAAATTTTAGGGCTTGGGGGAGGCCAAAGCCACTTGAATAATGGCAGACTTAGGGAAAGTAAAGGTAGCCAACCCCAGTGAGTTGAAAATAATTCTTTTTTTAAAAAAAGTTTTAGTTATTTTTATTGCAAAGTCAGATATACAGAGAGGAGGAGGAGAGCAGAGAGGAAGGTCTTCCATCCGAGCGGCCACATGGCTGGAGCTGAGCCAATCCGAAGCCAGGAGCTTCCTCTGGGTCTCCCACGCAGGTGCAGGGTCCCAAGGCTTTGGGCCATCTTTGACTGCTTTCCCAGGTCACAAGCAGAGAGCTGGATGGGAAGCAGGGCCATTGGGATTAGAACCGGCGCCCATATGGGATCCAGGCATGTTCAAGGCGAGGACTTTAACCACTACGCTATCACACCAGGCCCCATGAAAATGATTCTTAACTGGACTATTATGTCCTGAATAAATCCGTCCCCACACCCCCACCCCGTGCCTATGAATCCTTTATGTGAAGGTTTATCCAGCTGCAGATATTTTAGAAAAACATGAGAATTGAGTCTGTACTGAACAAGTACTTTTTTTTTTACTTCTTGTATCTATTCCCTAAAGAATAGAGTAGAACAAGTATTTATGTAAGATTGACAAGATGGTAGAGTTGATTTAAGGTGTCCAGCAGGGTGGCTGCTGCAGTAGGAGGCTCCTGGCTTAAATGAAGCCTGCTTTGTTAACTGCAGAAAACAAAAACTAGGTAAGGTATTCAGAGGGGATGGGCATGTGGCGTAGCAGTTCAGTCCCTGCTTGGCACACCCCCATGCCATTCAGGAGCGCCAGGATTAAGTCCTGGCTACTCTGCTTCCTTTCCAACTTCCTGTTAGAGCACACCCTAAGAGGCAGCAGATGGTAGTTCAGTCTTTGGACCCCTAACACCCATGTGTGGTGACCCAGGAGAGTGTGCGGACTCCAGCTGCAGTCTGCCACAGTCTTGGCTGCTGTGGGCATTCGGGGAATGAACCAGTGGATGGACGACGTGTCTCTCTCTCTCTCTCTCTCTCTCTCTCTCCCTTTCAGCTCAAATGGAAAGTATTCCAAACACACAGGCAGATGTGTACTTTATATAAGGGACTTGTTGAGCATCCACAGTGTGGTACACCATGGTGACTGACTGTAACTGGGCTGTGATGAATGCTTGGCCACTGGATAGGCCACCAAGTCTGGGAGCTATAATTTCCAGAATCCTATACCAGCAGCCAGTTGGGGATGCCACCAGCGGGGATGGGAAGAGAATCAAAAGTCATCCCTGCTAATTCAGGAGAGGGAAAGGAGATCAGAGTTTGGTAGAAAAGCCTACAGCGAGTTCAGCACTAGATCAGGCCAAGGAGTAGGTCAGGGTTATGGCAGGTGCGTTAGGAGTTCGCTCAAACTCTCACAGCACAGGATGCCTGGAAAGAGCACTCAGTACCAATCGATTTCCCCAGAAAATAGACTGCGGGGATCAAGTGGTAGAAACAGAGAGAAGATGAGGCAACCTTAAACCAGGAGTTTCTTCCAGATCTCCAACATGATTGCAAGAGCCAGGATACTTGGGCCATCTGCTACTGCTCTCCCAGATGTAGCAGCAGGGACCAGAATTGAAAGCAGAGTATCCATGACTCAAGCCAGACCACATGTTGGATGTTGGCACTGTAGACAATAGCTTAATCCTCAAGCCGGCAGTGCCAGCCTTAATCATCACATCTTGCAAGGATCTGTTACCATAGATGCCTGGCTGCAGGTTGAGAACCCAAAGGAGTCAGACTCTCCCTGCCCTCCAAAAGATGGGCTTGTATCTAAGTACCACGGGGGAACTTGGGGAGTGAATGGGAAGTGGGGGCAAAAGCCAGAGGGAAGATAGTCCCTAAGGCAGGGAGATGCCGTGTGCAGGGTGTGGAGGATGTGCACCCAGCAGACAGGAAGCTCCAGGGGAAACACTCTGGGAAGACAGGACCAGTGTCAGCTGAGCTCAGGAGACAGAGAATCCAACTGCAGCCCTGCAGGTTCCTGGAGGACCCACGGGGTCCTGCGGTCTAGTGTTTGAACATGAGTTCATCATCCTCGTCATGAAGTTGTGGTATCGGGAGCTTGCCCAGTTCCACCGGCTCTCCCAAGGTCCCTGAGCATTACTGTAAGCCAGGAGCCCTCCATGGTCACTCACAGCCTTCAGGGGGACTAGGAAAAATCCCTCACCCTGCTCACATGTCATTTCCAGGAGCTCATCACTTGGCACTTGGGAGGCGCCCCATCCCTGACCTCCTGACTCAAGGTCACAGAGCACTATGTGTCTCTCACACCCTGCCACATCAGCACGCAAGCAGAGCACAGGTGCACCCGGTTCACAGCCCTGTCCTACGGGGCACTGCCCAAGTTCTCCTGTGCCCAGTGGCACCTCCTGGCCTAGGCACACCCCCATCCTATTCAGGAGTGCCAGGATTAAGTCCTGGCTACTCTGCTTCCTTTCCAACTTCCTGCTAATGGCCAAGAGACAATGGCTCTCTCTCCCTCTCCCCTCTTTCTCAAACAACTAAGTAAAAACTTGAAAACTAAAGAAACACATGGAAACAGGTAAAACCACTGGAGTGCACCTGACCAGCTCTTCCACCATTTCTTCCGCTAGCTAAACCGTTTCCCCCAAGGAAGCTGTTACTTCCAATGCTATAGGCATTTGGTTCTATTTTCCGTGCTTTGACTTTTCATATAAAAGCTACGCTGTCCCTGGCAACTGAACTCCACTGTATGTCTTTGAGCTTCAACCTTGACAGCACATAAAGGTTTCCCTCACTGTTTTGAACTGCTGAAAGGTGTCCCGTGGTGCCTCAGTCCCAGTTTATTGAGTTTTCTTTCTAGCCAGGGATATTTGAGTCATTTTTTTTTTACTTTTATTCTTTTTGGCTGTTTAAACAGTGATATGTT